ACATTGCAGGATTAAAAAAAAATTCTATTGGTAAACAGTGCCAAATAATACAGTCTGGTTTTGTTTTATTTATTTTGTATACAGGATGTAATTTTTACATCTTTAGGTCCTTCAAAAATCAAAATTCCAGGCACAAGGATTGAATTTCATGCTGTGAAGTGACAGTGATGAAACTTGTTTTTATGTAATGGACTGAATTCACTGTTGCAGTAAGGTGAAAAATTAAATCACTCAGGCTTTTGCCTGTTTGATTACCAAGTTGAAAAAATTGTAGTCGTGTCATAAGCTGTGGTTTTGAGATCTTTCTGAATCACAAGATATTCTGTGTTTGTGGGAGTTGTGCAGTGGAACCTATACATTAATACACCTATGTTAATAACATTCATGTTTTTCTGAAGTCAAAGCATGACTGGTAAAGCTGGCTTTATGCATGAGTGAGAGCGTTTCACTTTCTTTTCACTGGAGGAATTTTCAGCCTGGCAGCAATAGGAGTATAATAACTGCCAGCTGCTCACTTGGCACAAGAGTGCCTAGAACCAAGAGGAAGAGCCCAGTACATTATCCATATAATTTACTTTTCTCTAAGATGAAGGTTTAGGCCTCATAAATATTTTGATCTGGTCTTTCATGGCTTTTGTACACATCAGTCTGAAAATATGCATGTGGAGCATAACTTGGAGATTTTATTTTGGAGTACATTGGAGTAATTCCCACCAATAGGGAAGAGCTAGGAAGGAAAATTATTGTGGGAGATTCTTTTGTGAGTGGGTGGTCAAGAATGAAGGAAAACCTGTAGGGTTAAGCAGATGGACTTCCCTTATTTTATACCATCTATTGGGCATGCAAGATTATCATCTCCCTAAATACTGGATAGTTTTGAACTGGTCTTCACATCAAAAGAATAAAGTTCAAGACATTAATTGTGAGGCAGAAACTCTGGAATAGAAATGAGACCTTTTTATATCTCAACTCTGTGCTTGCCCACTACTATCAGGACAATGACACAGCAGAAATTAGGTCTGAAAGAGTAAACAGAAGCAATCATTGTGCCTTTCTCTATGTATAAACCACACAGCTGCAAGCCACAGAGCATTTATTACTCACAATGCCACTTTTCTCTTGGGTGTTTAAAATTGGCTTAAAAAACTACAGTGTACCAAATGAGAAACCAGGGAAGACTACAATCCTTTTAACATCTTTATTTCTAAATAATTTAATCATATCTGGAAACAAACCATACAGTGCTAGGAAGGCATGGTGATCTCTGGTGGTCTCATTTTGAGAGAGACGTTTTGCTGTGATCTTGTAGTGAGCTTGACCATACGTTTCTCATGAACAGGCATTGAGACACCCAAGAAATGTTGTACCAGTAGGTGCTATCTGCATCCTCAGAATGGAAGCTTCTTGCATCTCCACATTTAATTTCTTACAGTAGACAGTCTCCAGTGAAATTACAGATAACTGGAATAAAGGCCATTTCACCTGCATCCATGAGGGAAGGAGAAAATTCTCCTTGTCATGAAGACATCCTGGGCCATGCATGGGAGTATAACATGGGAAATTCTGAGCTCTAAAGGAGTATGTAATTTGAAGCATGTGTCTTAATTTGCTTTATAGTTCTTTTCTTAAAATACATAGTAATGCTTTCTTTCTTGGCAGGATTCCTCTGTCTTAGATTATTTATAGACGGAGCTGTCTTATTCAAACTCTCATGCTCCAGTCAGCTAATGAACCTCTGATCTCAGCTGCTGGTGTAATGTAAGCAAAATACTGTAATGAAGTATAGTAAATATACTATAATACTGCTTTAGTGATACTTTTTTATGAGATTTATGTCAAACCTGAAGTATTTCAAATGAATGGGGAAGCAATAATCTGATTTAAAAGCAACTGCAAAAAGCAACTTACTACGTAAATTCCATACTTTCTGCTGGGAGTTTCTACATCTAGCAGTTGCAGTTCACTCTAAATCCTGTTTGATATGTCGACAAAAGGGTACAGAAATGAAAAAAATGAAAGAAAGATAATGCAACTTAGAAGTTTCCCATGTAGAATATCGGCAGTAACTGTAAGGAAATGTGACTGATTCTCTCCTCTTTCTTCCCCATGTTGTTTTTGTTGTAGCACTGGGAGGACAGTATATCCATGTTTGCGCCTTCTTCCTGCCACATATGCACAACACCTGTGGTTCATGAGAATCTGGGAGGAGGTGGTTCTATCCTTTATGCTTTTCATTCTACTTATTCTCCCCCCCTTCCTTCTGAAGGTACAGGGCAATGAAAGAAGGAATTTAACCAGATTTATGTTTTTTCTTTCTTGTACAGCTGTATGTGTTGTGGGATATTACAATTGGGTCTGTTTCTACTGCCCTTTGACTAAAGTTCCATCATATTTTTTGGTTCCCAGGCTTCTCTGACGGAAGGATAATAACATACATATGATCTCTTTCTGCTTCAGCTACTTACAGATTGTAAGTGGCAGTGGGGCTGACCAGCTGCAGGTTATTTTTTGGAGTTACTGCCTCAGTTGCTCTGAGGAATAGAAAAAGAAATGGCTTCTCTACAGGTTAAGGATGAGAGTAGGACTTCTTTCTGCAGTGGCAACAGACAGTGCAACACTCTGTTTCCATGCATGTTCTTTTCCTTTTCAAGGAAATGCTTTCAGTTCCCTGTTCAAAATAAATGTCGTTACAGAAAATTTCATCACCAAATTTATCCTGACTTGTCTCAGCACAAGTAGCAAAATTGAGAGTGGAATTTTGATTCTATGAAGTAGTCAGTTCAGATGACAGAATAACACCAGGGACTCCCCAGAGTATGTGTTTCTCTGGTGCTGTGTTGTCCCATTTGATTTGACTGTTCACTAAATGATCACTGGCCAGGTTCCCTCATCAAAACCCAAACTCATACAAACAATATTGGGTAAAGTTAGATCTAAATGGCAGTTGAAATTCTTAAATTGTAAAATTTAAGAGTGAGCTGCTTTTGTTTGTTTACTTATGTTTTATGTCTTCCTCATCTGTGAGGTTGCACTATTCTAAGATGAACCCTACTGGATGAGGTAGAGTTGTAAGTGTTGCACACTGATGCCTCCCAATGACCAATATAAAGCAGCACACGATCCATATTTGTAAAAATATTTATACAAAATATTTGTAAAAACTCTTCACCTCCCCCACTCATAATACCATAATTGCACCACCTTTTAAATTAACTGTTAAACATATCACATTCCAGCCATCAAGTGTCTTTGTTTGTAATTCCCATTTAATGTTGGGCTATGGTTGCATATTACCAAGCAAAGGGAGGACAGCTGTATCACTTGAAAATGCATGTTGATTCTGCTTTTGTATTTTTAACACAATAGTCAGCAAGCCATAGAAGCTAAAATAGAGATTAGTATACTCCTAATCTTTAAAAAGTAATATTAATTTAAAAATGAAGTGGAAATATCAATGTCAGTAAAATTTTATCTACTGTCTTTTTGGTGTCAAACAAAAGATTTTGCAGTCTAAAGAGCTGGTTGTATTATTTAAATAATGTCTTCTCATTTTGAGTATTTTCAAATCAGCTTTAAAAATCAGCATTTTCTGCATGTTCCTATATCTTTCTTGTCTTTTTCCTGTCATAACTGTATTTAAATAAGACTACCATAAAACAACTCATTTGTGAACACTGAATTAAAAAAAAAAAATCTATTTTAAAGAGCAACCTAAAAACCCAGGAAATTGACATAATCTTTCAGAGACAGTGCTTGGTTCAAGGTCAGACCATTGATCTTTCGCCCAAACTACATAATTTAAAATGGTATTTTTAGCACAGAATTTGTCTGCTAATATCAGTCCTTTTCTCTATGTTTATATTGATAGAACATAATGAGATTACATATATTCTGATGAATAATGGCTGCCTTGTAAACTTGCCACCTACCTACAGCGACTCTTATGAATATTTGATGATAATAAGTAGCAGGAACTTTGCTGTGTTGCTTACACACACTTAAAAAACCTAGCAGCACAGGAGTACCTTTTGTTCTGCTTTTTTTCTTGGGGTAAGCAGTATGATATTTATATTATTATTAAATATTAGATGTGTCTAACATATTCTTGTTCTTAATATAGGAGTTCTATTTAAATCATCATTTTCTTGTTTTAGGAGGAAAAGGCTGAAAGATATAAGACACAATTTTTAACATTTAAAATTGTATATTAAGATGAGGCAGGGTTGAGTGATCAGTCTTACACTTCTATGAATTAGCAGTTGAGAAAAAGGAAAAAATGCAGTGAGCTATACTCAACATTTTGCAGATGCAGACATATTGTACAAGGTGTCTAAAATTAGTGTCTGTAGGTCAACAGTTTTGTAAACCTCTGTACAATGTCTTTGGTTTATCCATTATCACCTTACAGATACTATAAGCAGTAGCTTTGTGTCATATATTGCAAATTGGGCAAAATCTGTCAGCAACAGGCAGCACCTTTTATTGTCTCTTCATCTGGTTAATTTTTTTTTGTAGATGTGTAATAGAGAGTCTTCACCTTGTATGCTGTTTCAAGGTATTTTGGTGTGAAGCTGGTATCAAAAACCACATTTCTGATTTGTTTTCAATTGAGAGTCTTGAGTGTGAGTCTCCTATTTGAACATATGAAAACATAGCACTTTCATTATCCAACTTGCTTTACAGACTATGTTTGAAACAGTTGCTGTATTTTGTTTGAAACAGTTGCTGTATTTCGTTTGATTATATGCTTTTCCTTCTGAGACTTGCAAGGCCTGTTATGCAGCTATATTTTTCCTTGCTCAATTGGTGAGGACAACAGCAACAGCTCTGAGATTGATAGGCAGATGTTTCAGTTACTTAAAATAATCTGGCATAATAGTTAGTAGATTTTTTTTTCAGTAGCTCTTGCATATTGAGTGTGTAAAAGCCATAATTTTATTAATGCTCCTATAGCAGTTGTCTTGAAAACCAGTGCTTTACAGAATTTGTTTATCTTTCAGGGAATCAGTTTCCTCCTGTTGCAGCTCAGGATCTTCAGTTTGTTTTGAAGGCTGGATACCTGGAAAAACGTAGAAAAGGTAAGTCTAGCTATTTTTTGTGAAAGTGCATATTTAATGTCTGGAAAGTCTATATGTCTGTATTTGATGTTATACACATGAACAACTTTTTATAGGAGTGATAAATAAAATGAGAAGGAGATGAAACATTGAAGCATTATTATGCAAAAGAAGCATAGCACATAATTGCTTCTATAGTAGTATTGAAAGAAAATCCTATTTATTTACTAACAAAATCATGCCGTGAAAGTCCAGTCAGCCGTAATTCGGAGACTTTCAGATATTTTTGGAGAAAACATTCGGAACGTATGTACAAGTAGCATGTGTTGACTTCATGTTTCAGTGAGCATCAAGATTTATTTTCCTTCAAGAGGGCAAATATTGATCTCAGCTTTGGTTCAGTCAATATTTACCTTGATTCAATAAATCTTATATTGTCACTTTAATGCTCACTTAATGCTGCGATAACTCTAGGAAATATTTAGGAAGTTGTTCATTATTTCCTTATATTTAATGTTACACATGACTTCACTCTTTATGTGATTTCAAATTCTTATTTGTTTTATTAACAGCAATTTTTATTTCTAATATTCTTCTCAGTGCCATGCATTTCATTAGTTTCCTTTCCTTAGTGTCTTTACCTAGCTCCTCCTCCCTCTTACCTCACCCGTGAAAAGAAGTAACACATTTTTGTTCAATAATGGCATAAACTGATATAACACATGTTGTATTAATTTCAGACCACAGTTTTCTTGGCTTTGAATGGCAGAAACGTTGGTGTGCTATCAGCAAGACTGTCTTCTATTACTATGGAAGCGACAAAGGTACTTATAACAATTATTAAAGCAATGATGTTTTAATGCACAAAATAATATGAAAGATTTATTGGAGTTGGAAACTGTGAATCAAGGGTAATTTTAAGAAATGGAGTGAAACTTTTAAAAGAAAGTTCTTTTCTTTTAAATAATTCTTGGACAGTGCTGTGAATTTTTAAAATGTGTAAATATTCGTCAGAACCTGTCAGTGTTGTCTAAAGCAGGGAAACTGAGGAAAAAAATTAAGTTTCTTTTAAAGCTACTTTGTTTGCTAATAACAGCTGGCTGTTCAGTTTGATAGTAGGCTGGTACTCAACTGTTTTGCTGGATAGAAAATGTTCTTTCTCTTCAAATAGGTTGTTAATTTGAAAACATCTTCTAGTAATTATACCTTCCAAGTTCCTTAGAGATGGTTCTATCCAGGAATATATTAATCTAAAAGCTGCATAGTGGAGTTCTTTGTTTCTTTTTAGAGTTTATGCTCTGGAAAAGCTAGAAATTAAGTAATGTATTTAACTGAAGTCAGCAATGGAAACTAAAGCCAACTTCTGAAGGTGACTTTTAAATGTAAATGTCCAGTTTGGAAAGAATCTGGCATAAATGTTGTAATATTACTTTGAATTTTTGAAATTGGCAGTCAAATAAAATATGTGCCATGTGTATTTGATGTTTAAGGGTAAAAAAAATGGTACATAATTATATCTGAGTAAATTTTGTAGTAAAATAATGTCTTCCCCCTCCAACACCCCCCCACCCCCCCAAAAAAAATTCTAAGGCAAACTTTCCACTGAAGTTTTTTTTCTTCTTCTTTTTGTTTGTCTTTTTATTTTTGAGATTACTGCAGGTAGTTACTATGTCAGGGTTTTTTTATTCAAAGACTAATATAATTTTCTCCAGTTTGTTTCATTCCTTGGTACACTGACACATTTAAGCTTGTTGTCTCTTTAAAACACAAGAAATAAAGAGTCTAATTGTAAGTCCAGTTTTCATTTTTCATTTTGCTAGTTTCATCATGTCCTCTTTTCAGTTTTGCTAGCATATCTGCTAAATATTGCTTTTTCTTCTATACTCTTTTATTGGGATTTACAGGTTGATCAGGCTTCACAAACATGAAAAATTTTTGTTTAAAAATTTTGAGGAGATGTAGCATGGTCCTGATTTGGATTTGTCAGAACTGATTAATTTCTTTCTCTGGAAAATGATCATGTGCTGTTTATTTATATATATATATATAGTTATACATTGCCTAGTACTTTAAAAATCACAATTTTTTTTATTTTTTTCCGAATATATTGCTAGTTCATAAAGATTGTTCTTGATTATAAAATCTTTGTATTTTTGTCTGCTTATTTTTTTGAAAAAAAAAAGGTTTTTTTTTTGACATTCTTTTCCTTTTGGCTGTGCTAATGATTATTTATGCTTTCTAGCATATGGTCTTTGTATTAAGGATTGTTCATAAAGATTGTTCTTGATTATAAAATCTTTGTACTTTTGTCTGCTTTTTTTTTTAGAAAAGAAAAAGGCTTGATTTTTTTTTTTAAACATTCTTTTCCTTTTGGCTGTGCTAATGATTATTTATGCTTTCTAGCATATGGTCTTTGTATTAAGGCAGGCATGTTGCCCACCTGGTCTTTGTCCTTTTTTTTTTTTTTTTTCTTCTTTTGCAAAAACCTGATTATCAAGTTTGTGTTGCAATTTTTAATACCTGTATTGAAAGTTGAGATGCATGGAAATACGTTCCCCAGCACTCAGAAGGTTGGTGTCATCTTAGGAATTGACTGTGATATTTTGTGGGATCTCTTTCATTTATGAATCTATAGAGAAGGGTTTTTTTTTTGGCAAATGCTTTTAGAGCTTTTGTAGGCTGTTTGTTTGGGGAAGGTCCTCCTAACCATAACCTAATGATGTGGGAGGGGCACATGGTGCACTGGAACTGTACTGAATCACAGAATCATTTAGGTTGGGAGTCCAACCATTAATGCAGCACTGCCAGGCCCACCACTAAACCCTGTCCTAAGTACTACATTTACATGTAGTAAATATCTCCAGGGGTGGTGGCTGTACCAGTTCCCTGCACAGCCTGTTCCAATACATGACAACTCTTTCAGTGGAAAAAAAAAAAATTGCTTAATACCCAATCTAAACCTTCTCTGGTGCAACTTGGGGCTATTTCTTCTTGTACTATCACTTGTTATTTGGAAGAGGAGACTCACCCCCACCTCATTACAACCTCCTTTCACGTAGTTGTAGAGAGCATGGCATGGTTGGACTCCAAACAGTAATTCATGGAGGAAGCAAATCAGATGCATGGATTTCTGCCATACCTCCATTGGATTGGTGCTTGTAATGCAGAAAAACTAGTTAAACGTGGAATTAAAAAAGTTTTTTCTAGACTGGTCAGAGGTACTGTTTCAGGTGTGTGATGCCATTGTATATAAAAGTGCCTGTTGCAGTGCAGAAGCAGTTCACTGTCATTATGCAGAAACTGGACACCAGCCATGGCAGGCTAGAATGCTGTTAAAAGTGAGCTGTCACCCAAATGGTTGTGAGAGTACGGGCTGCAGTTCATCACGCTGCTCAGCTGCAGAGTGTCAGCATGGATGAGGTGTGTGATGAGGCAGTCCTGAGCAGCTCTGGCATTTACTGCAACTGTTTTCACTCCCACTGTTGTGGCCAGCAGTGGTACCTGCTGTAGTACGCTCTTGTGCTGGAGACCTCCTTCTTTTACTGTGACTCTTGATGCTGTACCACATAACCTGGACCATGTGGAAATTCAGAGCGTGTTCTTACCTTCTGTAGAATGCCTCTAAAGTGTGTGTCTGGTGGCTTTGTGCAAACTGTGAGCCTGGTTTCAAAGTGGTGAGGATTCCACACGTACTCAGTCCTGCTGTCTGTGTTGCTTTAAATGGGTGATGGGCTGCTAGTGCCTCTGTTGGGGGATGTAATGCTGAGAGGCAGCAGGGATTTCTGCATCCGTCTTGGCTTGCTTTGAACTGTGTCTGTTTTTAAAACCAGACCATAGGTGAATAAACTGTGAGAGCTATTTGTGTCCGCAGCGATGTGTCTTTTGTTGACCAAAGTTTGATTTTCATGCTTAAGTGTGGAAATGTAACTGAGTGGTTAATATGAGACTATAGGATGCCTTTTTGTTATTTGTACAGATTTGTTGTTTCCAAAACAGTTTTAGTTCTTCTAACTAAACTTCCCTCCTTTTGGCATTGGGAAAGCAAGAAGTGTGGAAGCGTATAAAGCTCACAAAAGTGTAAGGAAGAGTTTCAGAATCATTTATTCTAAGCTGAATGAAGAAAAAGTGTGGCCTAGTCTGAGATAAATAGTGCAAGTGAAAGCCTGTGAAATACCGTAAATGGCTACGTGTTTGTGTGTGTGTTCACCTAAACAACTCCAAGCATTTCTTCGACAGTTGTGATGCCTGCAGGCCAGTGTATGTCGTTTCCCTGTTTTCTTCTCCATTTGGTGTAGCATTGGGTAGTGAAACAATGTAATTTATCCCAGTGAGATATAGATGGGTCTAAGTAAATCACCTGCATTTTTTTCTCTTGATTACTGATAAATGGAGTCGATGGAGAAACAAGGCTTAAAGGTTTTAGCTAATCACGTCAGAAACAGGTGTTGTGGGAAGCACGTGTGTATTTATGCCTGTGCTGTGGTATCAGTGCCAGCTTGTGGCCCACAAAATTGCAGAGGAATTTGTTCAAATGTCAGAACTGGGTGGGATTTTGAGAAGCTTGCCTGGTGTTCCTTTTCATAGTCTTTCCTTCTATAAATCTTTTATAGTCCTCTCTTTTATTTTCTTCCATGCAGTTGTGCCCTGAATTGAGTACTCTGGTTCCCTATCATTTTTCTATATGATCTCTGGCTGTTCCTGTGTCCTCAGACACTGAGATGGTATGGATAACCTTTCTGACCTCAAAGTGCCTGTGAATAAGGAAAGTTAATTTGTTGCTTTATAAATGATTGAATTAATGGCTTCATTACTTCTTTCTCACTAGGCCACAATGTTATATGCCCTTCTGTCTCAGCAAACTGGAGAGATCAGCTAAATGTTTAGCAAGACAGTAATTGATAACATTATGGTAATTTTTCCTCTGCTAATGGGCACTAAAAATTTATTTTCATTTTTATAACTTGAAAATGGTATCTGCCTGCCCACCAGCAATATGATGTTAAAGACGGGTATAATTCAGAGGCTTTTGAAAAAGTCCGAGGTTTTTTTTTTTTTTTTTTTTTTTTTTTTTTTTTTTTTCCAATTTCTTTAGTTTTAACATGGACATGATAGTTTTGGATTTCTCTGAATAATAAGCTAGTGATGACCAGGCCAGTGTTGAACTACTTCTATTTGGGCAGAAAAGGGAATTGTGCATGCTCAACAGGATTTTGTTGTAGCAGGATGATGGCAACCAAAGGCCCTATCTCATGTGTACTGAGTCTTCTGCTGTGAGACTGTTAAATTCAGACCTCAAGAGTCACACTTGTTGTTAATAATGTGTTATTTAAAGAATAACTACTGGGTATAAGCAAACAGAATATGAAAAATTCAGTGCCCTAAATCACTTCCTCAATTTCTAAACTATTTTACAATTTCAGTTTCTCAGAGGACTAGATTAAAGGAAAGAAGAAGAAAAAAAGGTTGATTACATTTCAGATCTGCTGTCTTAAAGGGAAGAACTTCTGTGCCTGCATTTGCCCAAAAGCTGGAAAAGGAGTTACCATTTTGGAGATACTTACACGGAACTATTTTTTGATAGCAAACATCCTGCACATGGAAAAATATGTGAAACTACATTTAGCATGAAGCCATGTAAACTGTAAAATCTTACAGGCTCCTAATTTCAAGATGAAGAGAGTTAAATGATATATTCTAATAGTATCTATAAATACTTTATCACTCTCTGAAATCTTTCTGTTTGTTCCTTATGTCTTTTTCTGTAACTTCTTTCCTTTCTACTATCCCAGTCCTCTCTGTTCTTCAGAATGCACTAATTCTTTTTACATGTGCTAATAATATGAGCACATCGCCTTAGGCCTCAAATTTACAACCCAGTAATTTCAAGATCTCATTGAAGGTTTACCCTTCTTTGTTTTAAATGTTCCCATGGACTTAGTTACGCAAGGTTACTTCAAAACGCTTTTTCTCTGCTTCCCTTGAGACTCTCTTTACCCAAAGTAATATTGGCCCTGTTTCTGTTAACAACATTTAACTCTTTTTAGGATGTATAAAATTTATGTGTGAGAGAAATGTATTCAGATCTGAATTTTCTCTATGTTAAATTTAAACCCCCATATTTATCTTAAATTTCTGTGTATTAGCTTTGGGATTTTTTTTCCTCAATACTTAGTGCCTGACTCTCCCCTCTTCTATACTGTTTTATGATTTTAAATTCCTGTTGCAAAATGATCTACACAGAACCAGATTTGTTTTTCAGTTCTGTGCCTGACATGGGAAGCAGGGGAGAGAGGAGATTGAGCAGATGAGAGCAAAGTACAGCTTATGCTGAAATGAGGCTTGGCTTCATTGTGGAAAAAGTTATGCTTGATGATGTTCACAGTCCTTTTTATTTTTACAAGACTGGTACTACACTTTTTGCATTTCTATTTTATGTTTTTCTGGGAAAGCGGAAGGGTTTTCTGTCGATGAATTGGAATGACAGTTTTTTTCTGGAGAAAATAACAGACAGCAAAAATGTTATTGTTCTTCAGAGAAGTGTGTTCCATCAGCATATATCTCCCTAGTTCTTCCCAAATATGCTGTTGTATTCCTGCCTAAGCAAAACTCTGGCTCTGATCTGTAATGTAAATGTGTTTCTTGAAGCTACTGTGGACTAAAAACTAAGAGTATCTAATTTTAAGTCTCCAAGTAAAATCTTTAAGTCTTCAAAGCTTTTAAATATCAGAAACTGTTTAATTCTCCTTAAAGCACAATCTCCAGAAAACATTTCTGATGCAAACAATTTAACTGGTGATGTGAAAGTTCACAAGAGTTGCTATGGCCCTAGCTTCAAAGGCATCTTGAAACCAAAAGCCCAGGTCTGTCCAAACCCGTTTAGCTGCAAGCCTGTGCCAAGCAGGGATGCAAGGTGATTGTTGAGTCTGATGATCCCAGGATGGCTCTGCCTTCAAGCCTGAATCTGAAACTATTCTGCTTGTCCAAGCAGCTGCTGTGGGTCATGGTTTGCTCTGTGGTGATCAGGTGATGGTCTGATCCTTTTCAGTTGGTCTCCAGTCCTAATTGAAAGGTGTATTCTGCAAGAGCAAATGGCATTTGTAGATCTCCGAAGTTTGTCACTATCAGAGCAGGCAACTGAGCTATAGCTGACCTGTGTTCTACCATTCTGTATTTCCGGAGCCATTTTTCAGGACATGCTGAGTCTTATCTCTGGCTTGCTGCCACAGGGAGTGTGAATTCATACTGAGTCTTTCAACTTTAACAGGTTCTGAGTCAGGGATGTGAAATACCTCATTTGCACCACACTGGACTTTATTCAGAGGTTACTGCTAAGACAATTGGAAGTAAAAGCAACAATGCTAAGGCTAGTCTATTGCTATAATGGTCATTGAAAGACTATAATAGCAAAGGATGGATATATATATATTCGGTGGTGTATACAGGTAATTGTCATTAGCACTGAAATAAATAGTGTGTTCAGAGAGATAAGACAAAAACAGTATAAACAGAAAAACAATCAAATGGGATATGGGTGTCCTGCACCATCACCTTCCAAAGTACAGCATCTTTGTGGTTTAACTGCAATGCTCTTTGGAAGAACCAGTGCCAGTGCAAAGATCATTTGAGATTAGCTCTGTAAAAGTGTATTACCATAAAAGGGATCATCCATGTCACAGAGAAGCAGTCTCAGAAATAATCCAAGAGAGTAAATTTGAATACTTGCCTCATTTTTATCTTGACAAAATGTTTTTACCTTTTGAACCTGGTATTTGTTTATTCTGCCTGCGTGCTCCTATCGTCTAAGGTTTTGATAAACCTCCAGCATGGGAGAGTGAGAAGTTAATGTGTTTCACTTCATCTTCTCCCTGAGGTTACAAGGGAGGGAACAATAACAGACCTAGGCAGAAATGAATTTCATTAAATAAAACCTAGTTAACCTATTGCAAGTTATTATTTCTAATATCTACCTTGGTGTGATTTCATGAATTTTGTATGTGTGTGCTGTTTGAAATAGAGGTGGAGAATTGATCAAATATAAAATACTAGTTCTATATTATTAGTACTTATTTAAGAAAGAATAAAACTTACTGTGGAGGAAGGGACTGGAAATGAAAATAGAATGGTGCCCCAGATTTTCTCATATGACTGTGTTATTGGGTATTTGCTTGCCCTGGGTGAGAGTTCATAAAAAGGTGGAAGGACAGAGAATGTATCTATGTGCATATAAGATTACTAGAAAGAGTATTTGACTGATGACTGCCCTCATGTCCATTTATGTTCACATTGCTTAGTTAGCCAACTTTTACCCTCTCAGGAGTGGAAACAGATTTTCTTTCCTATTAAATTTCCAGAAATATGACAAAAGTTTGTTGAAAACAATAGTTTTCCTATTTTATCTACTGTAGAAGTTTTCTCCTTTTGTTGACAAGTATAAGCAATGGATGCTCAATTTGCAGCTAAGTTCTATTCAGCAATACTTAAAGTAGTTTTGCTGCTGTGCCTGGTGCTTATTGTTAATTAATGCTTTTCTTTTCTGTGTAAAAAAACCCCCCACACTAAATGGCATTTTTTTGATATGCAACTGAACTTTGTTCTTTGTTTGCCTGTGCAAAATGTGAAATACGATGCCAGTCTTCACTTGAATGCTGCACTCTGATCTGCAGAAATTGCAAAACTTAATTACTTTTACATTTTGGTTTGTTTTTAATATTTGCCAAAATATGCCAGAGCACATAAAATCTGATGTAGAATTTGGTTTGAAGGTCTCGAAAGGAGTTCACAGGTGCTGCTTGCAAAACATGCAGTGTATTTAAAGTCAGATCTGTTGTAAGTGATACTTTTATAAACCAGAACCTTTGAAAAGTAGAATTGTCTTTAAAACAACCACATGGCTGTACCTAATAAACTGTGGTAGGGCTCAGTACTTTTATTGGCTAATTAAACATTTGCTTTTTTGAGAGAAATGCTTTTGGAATGAACACAGACACACACACACCTGAATTTATAACAAAATTCATTCTGTATTTTTGCCATGTTGAAAGGAGGCACATCTGGGAGTGGGTGGGAGAATGTGAAAAGCAGCTTTTCCAATTGCTTAAAAAGAAGCTTGAAGTTTATTTTTTGAGTGAAGTGGTTAGTTTAGGAGGGAGCTCAGCAAGTTCTGAGCTAGACAGGTTTTCCCATTGGTTTACTGAACCTGAAAGAGACACTGATTTATAGGAAACGTGTCTTGCAAGTTCCAGTTCTTGGCTTTCCCTAGATACAAGTGTCATAACATGCACTTCTTACTAAATAAGACCACCATCTGCAAACATCCCCCTGTGGACTTCCTTAGGCATCCTACAGAAAAATGTACTTTTGGGTACATCTTCCCTTAAAATAAAGCTTTATCTCCAGAAGCATCACTTAATCATTTTGCTAAAAACCTACATGTTCTTTGTAAAATTCATGAAATAGAAAACAAAATCTGAATAAATGATAACCTGCTGAACCACTTACATTCACTGTTGTAAATGAAGCTCTAACTTTGTTTTTTATCTCCAACAGACAAACAACAGAAAGGTGAATTTGCCTTAGAGGGCTACACCATCAGAATGAATAATAGCCTTCGGAAGGATGCAAAGAAAGATTGTTGTTTTGAAATCTCTGCTCCAGATAAGCGCATTTATCAGGTTGGACTTTTTTATGTTGACTTGAAATTTAATTGACAAAGCTGTTACAATTCCAGTTACTGAATTAACATTTCAGTGGAACAACTGTCACTGATATCTTAATGCAAAAAGGAAAACCGTGCTTGAATATATTGTATTTTCATATATTAGGAAAAAAATCTGATTAAATGTATGTATGTACATGTTCAAATATTATCTTTTTGGTCAAGAGCAAGGAAATCTATCATCTTTATCTATTGGTCATTTCAATATTAGCATTTTAATATCTATTGTATAGTGTGTCTCTGTGATTTCTTGGATGAATTAAAATGTAAAAAAAGTTAAAATATGTATCAGTGTTAAATACATATTGTATTGGTCATGGCTTTTCAAGGAAAACCTACAAAAAGGCACATATCAGCTGTGCAATTCAGAGATCTATCAGCCAGACATCAATATGGAATGTAAGTTTAATAAGTTTTAAATATCTGAGATTGCGGTTGAAAGCCAGTTAATTAAGCTGTCAGGTAGTGTGTTGGAGTCTGACAAGAACATTTTTAAGAAAACTGTACCCAGCAGTCTAAAGAAATTCATGGGTGTCTTCTAATTGTCAAGGGCAAATTTTGTTCATCAGTTCTGGCTTTGACATTGATGAAGAGAAGCAGCTTTTTTCTGCACAGCTGCCAGCTGCTGATCAGAGTTTCAAATCCATCATCCTCTCCTTCAATTACGTAAATTTGTCAAAATTAGCTGTACATTATAAGAAGCATCCTTGCAAGAAAAGTACCAGAAGACATGAAAAGAATTGCTAATGGTTTCTTGAGGAAGTGATGGGAATGTTACATTCCCTCTTTTTTATTGCTAATGAAATTGTAGTTGTGTTTTTGACATTACTGCTAGTAGTTATTAATAAGCATTTAATAGTTTACAGCTGCCACTCCCAAAGAAGCAGAGGAATGGGTACAGCAAGTCCAATTTGTAATTCAAGGTAAGCCAGCCAGTAGAGCAGTTGCCTTTATTGCCAATCCTGCTTACTGACGGTAGTTTTATACTTACCTGTCATGTTAGTACCTGTAGGATTCCCATGTGTCCAAGTTTTGAGTAGCAAGTCCTAGTTTTCAATTGTATTACAGCTTTTATATGACTTTTCTCTTTCTTCAAGATTTTTTTATTGAAAGCTGTCCTTTATACAAGCTCCTTTCATACCCCTTGAACAGTGTAGAAAAATAAGAAGAATGTACTGGAAGGAGCAGGTCATGGAAGAATTGTTTTCATTTTGCATAAATTTCTGCTTGGGCATTCTTTTCCACTAAATGTTAACTTTTTAAACCACTGTTACCTAGATACGGGATCTAATGCTATTCCTGAGGAGGAGGAATATGATGATGTTGGACAAGCGAACAGTGAACCAATAGATGATAGCATTTATGAAGAAGTTAAAGGTATTGTTGAATTCTTTCTAACTTTGTGACTTGGGATCATTTTGTCTTTTCTACTTCCAGATTAATAACTCTGAGTGGCTTAAAGAAACTGAGTAGAGTAGCATGATGAACAAGATACTTTTAGATTTCAGATTTTGCTGTGACATTGAAAAAAGAATGTCTTCAGTTCTGGGTGAGAACGGTTTTCTTTAGCATGGACATCAAAGTAGCACAGAATGTGTAAAAGTGAACTCAGGGGACCTTCAGCTCATTAACGTTTTCTGGTATACAATTTTTTTTAATTAAAAAATTGAAAAGCCTTACAGCTTTTTCCAGCAACATGCCCATTATTTTTTTCTTTATTCATTTTGGCATTTGTATTGAGCAGAAGTTCTCTGTTGTTCCAAATGTTACCATCTTCTTCCTAATACATGGGTGTTACAATCCTGCAAGAAAGCAACATGTTTGTTTGAAAAGACTCTGGAAATGAACTGCAAAGAAAGCAATATGAGTGTTGACACTGTTCCGTTTCATGCTTTCCATCATGGCTGTGATGATACAGAAATTTTTTACTGTGGACTTTCCAATGTGGTCGAATGACTATGGCTCTTAATGTTCAACTGCATCTGCCAGATGGCAAAACAAAGCAAAAGATGTTGGCAAAAGTTCTTGATTATAGCCATTCAAGTACTAGGAGAAAGGTTGCTGTTCTTTATTAAATTTTAGGAAGTTGTGAAAAAAATTAGTTTTTCAGTTATCATTAGTTAGCAAGTGATACTTTGACATGATATGACAATTAATAATCACTTTGTAGGAAATAGAGTTCTATACCCCTTGTTGTTTGGAGCAGTACGATTATCAGCAATAATCTGAGAGGAAAAATGAGTTGTTTCATGTGATGCTGACTAACGTTCTGCATCTATTAGGTAAAATTTCCTGACCACTAGAAAAAAAGAACATTTTACACTTTGTCTCTTTGCCTTGATTTTCAATTTCAGGTCATTTCAGTGAATAAAGGGTGAAAAAACCAAGTGTCTAGTGAAAATGAATATCATAAAAGTATAAGATATAAAAGGACATATCTTTAGGAGCTGTTTTTTTTGGTTGTTCCATATCTTTGAATTGTACCTAGATCACTTCAACACAGAATGCATGTTCTGCTGAAGTGACATGCAGGGTGTCATACATGCTGAAAAACTCTCTGCAGTGAATATAAAAACTACATTACTGGGCTTAATCTTATAGCTACAAGATACACCCAAACCATATTACAGTGCTTTTTGGGTGCTGAGGTTCTTACAGAAAGTGGTCTTGTATGCTTGCTTATGCATTTGTTAAAGAAGCTCTACATATATCCTGGGATAATTACTCTTTTTTTGAGCTTCAGTTACCTTACCTGTTCATTTGAATGTCAGATAGTAAGTAGATCTGGAACACTAATACATAAAATACTGGGAGAAGGACATTGGTTAATACAGACTTTGAGTTCTTTGCCTGGGGTTCTGTCTTCTGTGAATTGCTGCCTTGGTGTGATTCTGTAGGAATTTAGAGTATTTTCATTTACATCCCATTTTTATGACAGTTTTCTCATTTTATATAACAGTTTTATGACATTTTTTTCAGCTGTTATCTCCTAATGTGGCTAATAAACCTGAAATGTAACAATATCACAAAGAAGAGGTAGTTCAAGAAATTTAGTTTCACTTTTTAGTCAAATTAATTTATTTCCCTGTGATCTTGGAGTGTGCTTCATTTTCATGTTATCAAGTAGAGATTATCTTCCTTTATCTCATGCTTTTTCCATCTCATCCATTGGAATTGCGAACTTCTCAGGAAAGACCATTTTACGTTTTACAGTGGAGCTTTTCGTTTTCACTCTGATGTGTTGACATAATTAAATAAAAATAAAGCATAAGTTTGCAACAGATTTTAGGTGATTATTTAGTCCTTTTATCTTCCATAAACATGCTTTAATAATCATATGCTTAAATGGAATTGAAGACTTGTGGCTCTGAGGCCCCAGAGCAGTCCTTTTCTTCTTAATCCATATGTTAGATGGAATGCTGGTTGACAAACCTCACAGGAGTAGGCCTTATTTGTTTCTTGTGTAGCTGCTCATCTAAACTTGATGGTAAAAGAGTGCACTCCAGTTTGGATGATCTCCTTTAATTAGACCTGATTGGTTGCATTTAATTACAGTTGGCTGTCCTTTCTGTTTTCCCAGGTAAGTGAATTATGCTTTCTTCCTTTCATGGTCAAAGGGTGGAGCATCATTATCCCTGCTGTTACCTGGCATAATAATATAGAACAAATAAGAAATCTGGAATGCCCGTTAAGAGAACAGAAAAAATTTATTTGTACAGCTGCAAAGCTATGCTAAGCTCTGGAATGCAAAAGGCAAACATGCTAGATTCTTGTGAAGAGGGACAAGAAATTAATCTCCACTTTCTTTTTCTCCTCAAAGGATATTTGTGTTACAGGATTCTAATCCTCTGTTTTCACAGATCCACTAGCTTTATAAATATTGAATTTCAGGTGCAAAACTCATTGTACTGTGTTATCATTTATTTGGTTATAATTTGCATTTTCTCAAGTAAGTAAAATTTTGCATTTCTATGGTCTTCCGGTGGTTTTTATGCCAGCATTTCAGAAGGAAATGAAACCAGTTCAGTTGATAATATTTGGTTTGGTATTTGAATAAAGAGTTTTTGGATTAAAAAAAGCATATTGAAAGTTTTGTATGGTTTTGAAAATTGGGAAATTTTGAGAACTGTGACAGTAATCTGGACTGACACTGGCTATCTCATTGCTTAGCTATTTTTTTTTTTTTCTCCTGCTTGTGTCAGGAGACAGTGTAGATGAATTTTCCAGGCAGAAGTTGGATAGGTTCAAACCAGTGTCCAGAATGCCAAGAGACTATTAGCCTAAAGCATAGATTTCAGTGGTATACACTGTGTACTGTCTGCTGGCAGGTTATAGTTGGGAGGGTACAAAGAGATGTAGGAAATTTAATATTTTGATCTGTTAAGTCACTTTCTTCTTTAATAGCCCATACAAATTATTATTTACCATGAAAAGATAATTTTCATGGTTTTCAGTATTAGTCAGTGTTTTACTGTGGTTATTCAGGTAAAGTAAAAAAAAAAAACAAACTTCAGAACTTCCAAAGAATTCCCAACTTGTAAAATTTCCCTTGGAAGATTCTTCAGGAAAAGAAATCTTTACACTGTCTTCAGCCAACCAGGCTTTAGTCTTTTTGGTTTTTAATCATGGAGGAAAACTTGGCTAAGCAAAATGAAAAAACTTGTTAGTAAAGGACCATTTTTCTTAATTAGCTATTTATTTTCTACCTTAGTCACTATATGTAATTTTTCAGTCCACAGCTGAATGTTACAAGCTGTATCATAGCTTCTGAAACTGTAGTATTAAATAATTCTGTGTTCTGGGTGGAGCTAAGTTGATGCATAGAGTTTCTAGCTTTGTGGTATTTTAAACAATGGAGTTGTCCTTGTCATAAAACAGAACATGTGCCAGCTTTAAAGTTGTTCCCATCTGTTACAGCCCTTGAAGACAGAATTTTTTTATTAACTTGAGGATTCAGTGACATAGTTTTAAGGGCCTTCAGTATTGTCTTCTGTGGTTTCACATCTGTGTGAAGCACATACCGAAAACTGCAATGTCAACTACTGGCTACCCCCTTAATCCTGTCTCCAAACTCAGCTTAGTTTGTGTGCTGTCTACCACATTCTGGCCCAGCAGGAAAAAAGCAGTGTTAATCTAAGCTAAAACCTTAATTTTCAGGTTTGTGTTGGCTTTTTTCTTTTGTTCTCTTTCTCCTCACAAACTTGCATTATAGCAGTACTTTCCGTGGTATGCAGTATTATTTCCATTAAAATTATTAAAGATAAGTTTTGATTCTTATTTTGGTTGTGCTTTTTTGCTGCACAAAAGTAAAACTCCCTTACAGAGCCCTTACAGAACAAATAAGGTTGGAAATCATGAAGCAATGTAATGTGAAACAAGACTGGCATTGGGGCTTTATGTCATCTCTTCTTAGCCTGTCTATAACACAGAGAACTTTAAGGTGAAAAAGGGGAAAGGATGGTGAAATTCAGTGCTGTGGTGATCTCCAGCTAATATAACTTGCATCAGTTCTTAGTTTTCGGTAAATTAAATTTGAGGATTGATTCAGTTTCTAATTGGGCACAGGATAATGGGAATGGAAACCTGGTGTTTGTCTTTTGATTCTTGTTATCAATCCTCTGCCAAACTGTTTGGTCAAACCCAGGTTTCTGGGCAATAATTCTGTTTTGCAGTGTAGTTGGAAGCTTAGGCAGGGAAACTGTAACTAAGGCAAAGCTCAGGGAAAGGTAAGAAGTGTTTTAACTTTCATGCAATGAGAAGTGTGCTGTGCAAAGAAACACTTCCATTTGTTTACTTATTTTAAACAAAGCATTTTGAATAGTTAAATTATATTGATGTTGTTTCAGAACATTTCTGACATTGAATACGAAGGTAGAGAATGAACATCCTGTTTCTTTCTTATGTTTGTATCTTTAAGCAGCTTTCATGATTTGTTTTTTTCTTACAGTATACTGCTGCAGTTAGGCAGCATAACAATACCATCTTCATCCTTTCTTCTTGCTGAACTGCTACAGTTTTGAAGAATCAATTTCTTTTATGATGTGGTACTCTTTTGATGAGCATGAGGGTGAGGGAGGGAAAAGAACATGTTCTCTGATTTACCTCTTCTTGGAAAGAAGGAGATAATGTATGTAGTGGAGTTGGAGTGTAAGTTTCATCTGGCAGTCATGAGCACTCATGGCATATATTTGTTTTCTCAAGATATAATGCCATATATATTGACTTCTTGACACTAGAAGTAAAGATTTCACAGCACTGTGTTAATGAAAGTTCTTTTTAGGACACCTTTGCTTCTTATAGCACAGCCAGGGTATGTGGGCCAGAACCCAGCGTTTGGTGCCAAGCAGTCCCAGGTGTGCATTACAGCTGTACAATTA